AATCGGCGAGAGCCGCGATCTGACACAAGAAGAGGCTAAAATGTTCGGATCCATTGCCACGAATTACGAAGTGGATCAGCTGGATCTACTCTTCTATTGCCCGACATCTAAGGAAGCGGCGGCAGATCGAGATAAACTGATGTGACTAGTGATACCTGAGACGCTTCAACAGGACATTCTGCACCACTATCATACGAGTTTACAAGGCGGTCATCAAGGGGTCGGTCGCACCTACGATCGGATCCGTGATCATTTTCACTGGAGAGGTCTGTATAAGAGTGTACAGCAATACGTGGGGGAATGTGTCGACTGTGATACCGGCAAAGGAAGACCCCGGATCCAGGGCGAGTCACCTGGTAACCTTCAGGCGACATACCCATTTCAGATCATTGCCATGGATCACATACCTTCATTGCCCAGATCCTTCAACGACAACACTGAATTGCCGATCTTCGTCGATCTATTCTCGGGATATGTGATCGCCAAAACCAGCGCCTCCAGATCCGCTCAGACAATGGCCGAGACCTACGAAGAATGTGTCTGCCGTCGATTTGGCGCGAGCGAGGTGATCCGACATGATCGGGAGCCAGGTGTCTGATTTCTTTAAGTCATTCAACAAGATCCTGGGACAACGCCAACGGGCTACTATGGCGTATCGACCCCAAGCTAATGGATCTGCAGAACGTATGGTCCAGACAACTACCCGGGCTCTTAAGATGTATGTGGAAGATCTAGATCAACGCGATTGGGACGAGTATGGTGAACGACTCACCTTCGCGATCAACACTACAAGAGATCGGATCCGAGGTGAAACGCCTTTCTACATGATACATGACTGGGATCCTAGATCTACCTTGGAAGTGGTGATCCCGGTGGGGAGCACTCGCAGGCACGATCGAGATCCGAGAAGATGGCGATATCGGATGCAAAAGTATTATCAACAGGCCAGAGAACAAGTGAACCAACGTCTACGTGAGGCGATCGCGGATCGGGCCGATACGCATAATGATCTAGTACGTCCTCATCCTGTAGAGTCGGGATCAAGGGTCTGGCTATACCTAGATCGAGTGCGTGAAGGTTATGCGAAAAAACTGGCGCACTTATGGCATGGCGCATTCCGCGTTGCCGAGAAGATCGGAGAATGCGCAGTGAGGTTGGAGGTTGCGGGGTCCACATACACCATTTTCCCGGTGGTGCATGTGTCGAAGATCAAACTGGTCAAGATATTCCCAGATCGACCAATAGCTCGTCTGAACGGGTCCGAAGGAGATTGAGTGGGTTTCGATGAAGCTCTCCTACCTGAAGACAGCTGGATCCAAGATCGGGATCCAGAGGAATACGAAGTGGAGCAAATTTCCGATATGAGGACTGGGAAGAGGACGAGATATGGCCGGATCTACCGAGAATTTCTAGTACACTGGCGTGGATATGAAGATCCAACCTGGGTAGATGATGCAGATCTCAACTGCGGTGCTCTTCTATATGAGTTCTTGCGAGATCGCGCTAATGGTAGTGGGTACGCCACGGATCTGCAGCGTCACACTCAGCGAGAGCCTCGATCAGGTCAGCAGGCTCACGACGATTCAGCTGCGGACCTGCGATGTTAGCACTGCGAGCCTCGATCCCGGGATACCAAACCACCTCGTCCGTACGCTTGGGAAAGTGAAGAAAATAAGGATCCAACAGCAGATCCAGATCACACCAGCCCTCACGCATCGCGATCAAGAAGAGACGTAGGATCTGCTTCCACCGGGCGCCCGCATGAGACGACGGTTCTTCTGCTCCACGACAAAGGGGACCAAATATGGATCGCTGCGGATCAATGCTGACGAAACTGGGAAACGATGCGTGGACTCCCAGTAGGCGATTAGATCTTGGAATGCCACTGCAGAATATCTCTCGATCAAGAATCCCAAGCAACCATCGACCGTGATCTCAAACGACATGGGCTCGGGGAAATTAGCACCAGTGAGAACATTCCAGGGAAGGGCAGCCATGAGGTCACGGACGTTTTGGCCCGTGATCAAGTGACTGCAATACTGGCCTGATCTTGGAATGGCGGCCCGAGGAAGATGACTGGGGAAGATCCACTCAGGGCGAAATGGTACCGCGCGAGACAGCACATCCAAAGTCATCGTCATGATCGTCAGAGTGTCATGATCGTCAGAGTATTGATCCGTTGGATCACCCACGGATCCACGTCCGCAATGTTGTACTGACGAGTCTGTTGGCGGCCAGGGATACATACATTATCGGGAGCGAAATGACGCCGGGGAAGCATTGTCGAAACGAGAGGCATTCCAGCCGGATCCACAGGAGATCAGCCGCCCCCACCACCACTGCCGTTGGTTGAGCCATCACCGTCTGAATCACCGCCTGATCCAGGGTCCCCAGCGCCTCCAGCTCCTGTACGCCGAGGGGCAGCGTGATCGCGATCATTCCTCAGATCTGGATCGAGAAAGAGCCATGAGCGTCTGAGCTTGCAACATGTCGTTCAAAGTGTCGTCGTCATCACCGTCGGCTGAAGTGTCTGCTTCCGAGTCTTGATCTTCTTCCTCCAGATCTGCATCCTTGGAGGGCTTAAGATCACCAGCCGACCGAGGTTTAGACTTGGGCTTGGGCTTGGACGCGGGATCCGAGCTTGCTGGGATGTCAGACTTCTTGGATCCACCCTTCTCGTAAGATAAGTAGCGCGGCTCGGTGGTCGGAACAGGGCTCGCAGCCCCGCGATCCTTCTCCAAAAGCTCGTCGAGTAAAGCATGAACTGAATCCGACGGTTTCTCGACATCCAAGCCCCCGCTATGTCGTAGTCGTCTTGACCTTCCTCGCGATCTAGATCCCTCTTGTGATCTTCAGTCATCGGAGCTTTTCTCTTGGAAGGACGATCTGCGTCGCGAGAAGGGGAGG